AGGGAGGATTTCCAGCCCCCATTCTCATTCCTGACTCCCCCATTCCAAAGTCAGTGGCCCCGGACCCTCACTCACCTCCTTCTGCTTGGCGTCCTGCGGATACACATCGGGGGGCCCCAGTCGGGGTTTTTTGAGGGGCCGCTGCTCATAGCTGAGTACACCGAAGGCCGCCATCTTCCTGGCCTTCCAGGGGGCGCGCACCCGATGACGTACGAAGGAAACAACAAGTCAGAAGCGGAGCGGGGAGCGCGCTAGTGACGTCACGGGGAGGGCAGAGAAGCCGCCGGCACCATGTTTAGTCCTGGCAAGAGTCCTTGGGTGAAAGGTGGTTGCTGGGGTGAGGTGTACCCCGCTATTAGGAGTGTTTCCTGACAGGAACAATATACAAACCCCCATATTTATGTATATTTGTGTGGATGGTGTTGCCCAATAAAGCTATCCTGTCATCAGAATTTGGTAAAGATAATTGTACTTTTATGTATTAAAGTGCTAAGTAAAAGTAAAAACAAATACTAATTTCTGGTCACTTCCTGTAGGGGAGGATGACAGGTCCCACCGCCGGATCCCGGGAATGCAGAGGAGCCCAAATCCTGCAAATGAAGCTTTTGCGATGTGCGGAGAAACATTGGCGAGCTTTTCCCTCACTTCCTGTCCCTGTGACCCCCTATTGGTGAGATTTACCTTCACTTCCTGTTCCTGTAACCACCATTGGTGAGATTTTCCCTCACTTCCTGTCCCTGTGATCCCTATTTGTGAGATTTTCCTTCACTTCCTGTCCTTGTGACCCGCCCATTGGTGATCCCCATTGGTGGGATATCAGAACAATTCCAGGGGGGTTGACATACTGGGTTGGTTCAGGCCTTTCCGTTGTAAGAAAGTGGTCGCAGTGCCATTTATTGTGAATGATACCCCAACGCACCTCATAACGCACCACATACCCCGACACATGGCACGCCCCAGTACCCCTCACCCCGACACATGGCACGCCCCAGTACCCCTCACCCCGACACATGGCACCCCTCACCCCGACACGCAGTAACACTATGGGATGGATTGTGGTGCGTTATGTTTGATTTTGGGTCAGTGGGCCCCATAGGTGTGGAGGGGCCCTCGGCGGTGACGGTGTTAAGTGCTGCGGGTGGTCATGTGACGGAAGGAAAGGAGTTTATTGGTGGAGTCCATGCCGAGTCTTCCTCCATTGCAGTCTATGGCCTCCCTGAGATTACCGAGGATGTGCTGCCCCTTCCGGGACGATGGCACCGACCTGGTCCTCACCTCCCCCGTCTATCATGTGACATGTGGGTGCAGCGCCGTGCTGGGGCTCCTGGGACTGGCCCTCGGCTACCGTCCAACCAAGGGCCCCATCCAGAGCCGGCCCAACGGCGGGAGAATCCGACTGGCCAGCAGTATGATCACCACAGGTCCCTATGAGAAGGAAACATGTTATATCGTCATATGTTACATTGTTGTATGTTTTATGTCGTAAAATGTTACATGTGTTGTGTCATGAGACGTTACATCGGCACGTGTTGTGTCATGAGACGTTACATCGGCACGTGTTGTGTCATGAGACGTTACGTGTTACAGTCGTAGTATGTGACATTGTTACGTGGTGATACGTCACGTTGTTACATTTTATGTGTTTATACACGGATACACGCCATGTGGAGATCATCCGCCATTGTTGGCACATACGGTTGGTGTAGCACATGTTCTGGGGAGAGCGAGGTCACTGCACATATGACCAGGATTCATCTGATTCGTCCAATCAGGACGGCCCGGGAAGGAAGGTGTGTGGTGATTCCGCACATCACATGACATTGTGTGTTACCGTGTAGCGTTGCCGTTATTTATTATTGGCATCCTCTCATCTCCCCACAACACATTGTATCCGTCTATTGCGGTGTCATTATCACCCCGCCCCAACGCACCACCAATGTCACATGACAGAGATGTGACCAGAACCCCCCCAACCCTCCCCGTTCCCCGTCTGGTCAGCTCACAATTTAAAGGGTGACCCCGGACTCCTCGGTCACATTCTGCGGTGACACGCAGAGCCCCCTTTACACTCAGGATTTATCACCCCCCACAAGTCATGTCCTGAGCCCCCAGCTCCATCTATGACTGAGATCAGTTCCAGTGTCGTGTCTCCTCCCCCTCTCTCCCTCCAGTGTCGTGTCTCCTCCCCCTCTCTCCCTCCAGTGTCGTGTCTCCTCCCCCTCTCTCCCTCCAGTGTCGTGTCTCCTCCCCCTCTCTCCCTCCAGTGTCGTGTCTCCTCCCCCTCTCTCCCTCCAGTGTCGTGTCTCCTCCCCCTCTCTCCCTCCAGTGTCGTGTCTCCTCCCCCCTCTCTCCCTCCAGGGTCGTGTCTCCGCCCCCCTCTCTCCCTCCAGGGTCGTGTCTCCGCCCCCCTCTCTCCCTCCAGGGTCGTGTCTCCGCCCCCCTCTCTCCCTCCAGGGTCGTGTCTCCGCCCCCCTCTCTCCCTCCAGGGTCGTGTCTCCAGCAGAAGAGTGTCTCCATTAGTGAGAGTACTTGTGTGTGCACCCCCCTGGGAGGTGAGCTGCATGTGGTGTGCACCCCCCGGGAAGGGGGGGAGGGGTGTTTCCTGTTCTTTCTATAGATGATTTGTGTTCTGATCTTTTCTCAGGCTTGTTGGTGAATTCCGTCCTCTGGCTGAGTCTCCCCGACTTCCTGTCCAATCAGACGGCTTGGTTCCCTCACGTCCTCTGCATCGTCCTCTCTGTAAGTTGTGTCTTTGCTCCGCCCCTCTCATGTCCTCTAGATTCACCCAAATCATGACTTTTCACCCCCGATACCGTCTGATCAGACGAGAGCCAAATCCGTGCGAGTTGTGGGGTCTGTATGAGTGTGTGAGACGAGGCAGCTGAAGCCAAACTGGGGGGAGGGGAGGAGACCCCCCCCTGGCAGGTGTTTATTGCCGTCTGTGTCCCCGTTAGGAAGATTCACCCTCTCCATGTGTCCCGGTGAATGTTATTGGTGAAAGAAAATCCCAAACTTTTGGGTTGTCACCAGAACAGGAATAGATGGCTAATCTTGCAGTGGGGACCACCAGGGACTTCCTCTCACTTCCTGTTCTGGCTGTCAGACAGGAAGTGAAGGGAAATCTCCCCGATAGGACACAGATGGCAAAAACAAAAACTGGCAATGGTTATTATAAACCTCTGCAGGGGTGTCCCTATCCTTGTCACTAGTGGGGGGGCCCCGCTTTTGGGGCCACTGCATCACCTCCCCGCCCAGCTCTAGCTCCAGCCGGTGTCCTGCAATGATGTCACTGATTGCCGGGAGCGCCCCGGGTTGATGAGAGCCGGGTGGGGAGACGTGTAAGGTCCATAGACACCCCACCCGGCTCTCATCAACCTGTCAGGCCGGAAAGGGGGCGGCGCGTACACTGCAAGCATTGTGCAGCAGAGCGGCCATGACACTCTGCCTGCTGCTTCCCCCCCCCCCCCCAGGCCCCCCAAAGGGAGGCGG